TCTATCCATCCATCTATCTGAGTATATGTCTGTCTATCTATCTATTTATCTATCCAAATATCAATCCATCCATCTGAGTACCTGTCAATACGTCTATCTATCCATCCATCTATCTGAGTATATATCCATCTATCTATCTATCTATCTATCTATCTATCTATCAATAAAAACGTATAATTCATATAGATTTCAATAATGATTTTCATCTGCTGGATGACGAAACGGGTGAAAAAAATCCCACAAGTGCACAACTCTTTTCATATGAGACTAGCAGAAAACACCCGCCAACCACATATTAACACGACAAACCCATCCAAACACCCTTGCAATCTATGAGTGTGTACGCTAATAAAAAGTGCACAGTATTGCCATATTTTTTTGCATGCTAAGCAGTTTGTGTTGCACAAATGAATATGGTCATCATTGGGTATAATAGTATATTATTATGATACCATGGTAGCACACAGTACTTGTTGTGCTTGATGCCTCTGGCAGTGTTTGTGCTAATCTGATTAGTACATGCTGGATTGATGCCAAAGCTGAAACTCTGTTGTTTTCTTAGTCGCTTAATACAATCATCATCACGATCAGATCTGCTAAGAATATTGACGTTTTTGAACAGCTGTAAGGAGGGAAACTACTCTCTAATCTCTCTCTTAAGAAATGGGATCAGAGCTTTTAACCGTTTAATTGATTTGATCTCAAACAATAGAGCTTCAAACACCCGTCACAGCTAAAGTACAGTGAGTTGATCCCTCATCCTCCAACTTCCAGTTGCCTTTGTTAACTTTATGATTTTGAGCGACCTTTCACTTTAAAACCCACATAAGAACATAAAGGCCTTATGTTCTGCTTTATTGTACAAGCAAATGCAATAATTGATCACTTCATATAACGAACCCTGTCGAGACACATTAATCTCCGGCGTTTCCTAACCTTAAATAAATGATAATGAAACGTTGTAGTTGTCTGGGTGATGCTAAAGCTCTGGCATGCCGAGGAACGTTCACTCGACTGCTGGCACTCGCTGCTATTAAGCGACGGCGCATGGCGTGCTGCCACGCTTGTGACTTTGAGCGGCACATTGGAGCCATGTTGCCATCTATTCAGGGCTCGGTCTCTCTGAGCAGCCAACAGGGCTCTGAGCTTTATTAAATAAAGTCCATGTGAAAGGTCCTCGAGTGCACAGACGCGCCTGGACACGGCTGGACGTCTGGCACCGCGCGGCCGTCTGTTTTCCCAGCAGGCCTGATCTGAATGCTTATTGATCGGCTCTTTTCTTTGGCTGGTGTTTGTGAGGCAGAGGACAGCTGGGATGGTTAAGGTGTAGTTTAGCTTCTTAATGAGTCACTGGTAATTAGGGCAGCTGTAGTTATACTTCTGACTTTAATGACTCTTGTCAGAGAGCTCAGGGGCTTCAGGTCCAAGTTAAACGGTCTCAGATCAGTCGTCTTCTGCCTGTAGCAACAAGAGACAGACAAGATAAGAAACAAGCTCTGAATTCATCTATCTATCATCCATCCATCTGATTATATGTCTATCCATCTATCTACCCAACTAACAATCTCATCCATCCATCCGCCCGCCTGCCTGCCCATCCATTATCTGTCTATCTGACTATCTATCTGTCGGCCTATTTCTCCATCTGTTTATCCATCTATCCGATTATGACTATCCATCTGTCTACCCTGCTATCCATTTATCTGTCTGACTATCTATCCAAATATATCTGACTATCTATCCATCCATTTATCTAAGCTATTAGTCTATCCAAGTATCTACCAAACTATCATCTATCCATCCATCCATCTATATATCTGTCTATTTTCTCCATCTGTCTATCCTATATTTATTTCTGTCTACCTGACTATCTATCTGTAATTTTGTATCCATTTATCCGTATATTTATCTGTCCGTCCATCCATCCATCCATCCATCCATCCATCCGTCCATC